GGAAAAACAGACGCTCAGAGAGCTGCTGTCTGTAGAAGTAGCCCACGGCAGCGAAAGCACCGGCTGTCATCCAAATGTGTGATTATCGATATCCTCTTAAACTGCTCTATATTATAGCACTTAGTGGATATTTTTCTACTTAGAGAAATGGCCAAGCGGAATGCGCCATGAAGATCACATTGAGCTTTTTTGCATTGACTTCCCAGAAGGGAAGTGCTTTCAGGCATGTGCTTTCCCTGTAATGTTGGTAGCTGTCTTATAGACCTACCTTGCAGGGTTGTTGTGAGTATAGCTAAGGTCATAAATGGGAATTGCTTTGAACAATGCAATTTAAAGACTAATGTCTGTCATTATTTTGTGGGGGGGGGGGTTGTATTTTTCATATGTGCATGTGTGTGCGCGTGTGTGTGATTGCACCTGAAAGTCATGGCGACCTCTACTATCTATCCCCAGAGTACTGAAAGATCCACAGATTTCCTGTGAATGGCAGTGCTTTCTCTCCCCTCTCCTGTGTTCGCACTGTCAGGTCCATCCGATCCATCCGTCTGCCTGTCTCTCGCTCCCTCCCTTCCTCACACGTACACAGTGCATACCTCTCAGAGCATGCCCATGGTGTCAGGCGTCTCCCGTGCCCGCAGCATTTTACATTCACACACTGATATCCATGGCTGCGATTATCCCCAGGCAGCATGTTGACATTTCACAGGGAAATATTAATGATCTCTCATTCAGCCGGCAGATACCTGAAGACATAGAGCTAATTCAGCCCATGCAGATGATCCCTTGATGGTAATTGTCAGCTGGCGTGACTTCAGCCTTGTGGAACATTTAAGACTAGCACATTATTATTATTATTTAATTCTAGCATAACTTTTTTTGTGGACTAGACCATAAAAGCCCCTGCAAAGGTGCAAATGCCACGAGGTTCTGCTGCAATGGCCCCTTTTTGGACTGCTTGACAGGCTTCACTTTTTGGACACTCTCAGTGTCTGAAGCACAGAATTGAAGTGCCATCCCAAGTAGAGTCACACCCCTTCTGAGGATACATATAGAAGGGTGTCACTCTGAAGGAAAGCATGAAGCTGCCTTATACTCGGCTTTTTTGTAGAAAAAGCCCAGCAGGAACTCATTAGCATAATAGGCCACACCCAACAACAGGAAAAACATTAGCATGTTAGGCCACACCCCTGACAGCACAGCTTATTAGCATATTA